AAACAAAAATCCAAAAAAAAGTATTTTATCCAATTGGAAACACAACGAAACTAAAGCCAGCCTAAGTCATTGGCCAGTCAAAAAAGCGTTTTATGTATTCTCACCTTAAAACCTGGGATAGAACACTTGTCAAATTAAACTGCCTAGGAAACTTTGTAAACATATTATTGCACAAGGTTACCTGCTTAATTGTAGCATCACATCTGACACAAAACAGCTGATTACAGATTCGCTGATATAAAACATAATCTGCAATCAGAGAGAACTAATATATGGAAGATATGTTCAACTCTGAATCGATTTCCACCAAACTGATGGAGCCATTTGCACTTCCCGTACCAAATAACATTGCTATAGAGTAAATGTTATGACTTCGTGAAGGATTATTTTAAAAAATATGTATCACAGCACTAGATATATGGGAACCGAGTTTCGCCAAATGAAAAAATTCTGTTGAATGTTCAAAAATTCCTCCAGTTTGGACTGATATTTTATGTTTGATGTAAAATAAACGTAAATTCGGCAAAAGACCTAAATTTAAATCTGTACCGATCTCCAAAAAAAATTGGACAATTTTGGATTACCAAATATCATTGTTGTAGAATGCATTTTACGAAAGTGAGGGACTTTAACACCATATTGGATGAAACATATTTATGGGAGCTATAGACATACTTGAACCCATTTTTACCAAATTTGAAGCACTCGCTTCTAGGCCGTATTCGGTCATACATTCCAAAATCCAAATACATATCCAAATATGAACCGATCTCGTTTCAGAGGTGAGCTGAGACTTAATCACCAAATCGAATGAAACATATATATTGGAGATGTATCTAAATTTAAACCGATATTCACCAAAATTAGAACACATGTTTCAGGTTTTAAATTCATCCGATTCGGACAGATATTGCGCCTTTCGTGAACAATACTTATGAAATCGGAAGGCACTGTACATTGGAGCTGTATCTAAATCTCATCCGATTATCACCAATTTAGGGTCCGTCCTTGGGTCAAACAAATGACCTGTGTAATTTTTTGTCTAAATCTGACTTTATATGTAACGGATTTACGGACATTTATAAGTCTACATAGAAAGTACGGGTGAGAGTACATAAATAGATTGGCATCATGGCTAGGCATATTAATGTCAAATTATAAAGGGAAACGACGATCGAATTCGAATGCTGCTCTGGCATCCCTGTGATGTCACAAAATATGCCATGCGAATACTTCAAGCTGTTTATGTACATCCACTTTATTCTATGAGGATTCTCAAAAGTGGCTATAGGTCTATATCGTCTTCTTCTTCTTAAGATAAAAAATACGTTTCATATTTTTAAGATATTATTGTTCTTTAAGTCCATAACATTTATCCCTTTTTTATTTTTATACCCTACACCACAGGGTGGTCAGGGTATTATGTCTTTGTGCATTTTTTTATACCCTACACCACAAGGTGGTCAGGGTATTATGTCTTTGTGCATTTGTTTGTAACAGGCAGAAGGAAACGAGATAGACCCATAGTTCCTTTTGATGATATGCATAGAATCACATTCTGAGTCGATTTATGCATGTCCATCCGTCTGTCCGTCCGTCCGTCTGTCCATGTATTTTTGTAAACAAAGTACAGGTCGCATTTATTGCCCGATCCAGATGAAATTTTGCAAAGATCTTTTGTTTGGCCCAAGGACGAACCCTATTGAAATTGGAGATAATCGGTCACAATTTAGATATAGCTCCCATATATATCTTCGTCCGATTTGCCTTTTATTGCGCACCAAACGCGTAATTTCAGCCCAAACAGTATGGAATTTTGCATATACACCCAAATTAGGCCTGAAAATATGTGTGCTAAATTTGATCGAAATCGGTTCAGATATAGCTATAGCTCCCATATATATTGTTCATCCGATTTGTTATTTTTGTCCTCCGCAGCCGTAATATGCACTCTGTAACAACAATATTTGGGGAAATATATCAAATGCAGCTCAGAAACCAGTAAAGAAAGTCTTAAAATCGGGCGGGGCCGACTTTATGATACCCTACACCACTTTGCTGATTTTGTAGAGCTCCGCATAGCAATTAAAAGTTTTTATAGGAGAATTCAATCATACACGCTATGATTATAATTATAATTTAAAGTTCAAAGGACTAAATATGCCGATGCATTTGTATCTTTTAAATTCGGACTTGTTTTGCCCAATTGGTGCACAATTAATTTGAAATCGGATAAATATATATATGGGAGCTATATCCAAATCTGAACCGATCTCGATAAAATTTGGCAAAGATATTTCTGAGCTGTATTTGATATATTTCCCTGAATATCGTTGTTACGGAGTGCATATTACGGCTGTGGGTAACAAATATAACAAATCGAATGAGTAATATATATGGAGGCTATAGCTATATCTAAACCGATCTTCACCAAATTTGACATACTAGCTTCTAGACTCAATTCGGTCGTATGTGCCAAATTCCATCCCATTTGGACATATTAGACGTTTGGTGCACAATCCAAGGTAAATCGGTCGAAGTTATATATGGGAGCTATATTCAAATCTGAACCGAATTCTCCCATAAAAACTTTTGATTGTTATGTGGAGCTCTACTTAATTAGCAAAGTGGTGTAGGGTATCATAAAGTCGGCCCCGCCCGACTTGAAGACTTTCTTTAATGGTTCTGATTTTTTATACAGCCCCCGTATAAATGTACCTCTCTAAAATCGGTATTTTGATGTTTTTGGCGACATTGTTCGCCAGAATTGTTTCAAATTTCGTTATGATAGTTCGTAATGGGTACTACAGCCTGGTACTAGTAATTGGTACTGGTAATTGGCTATACAGGTCCACGTTTTCCTATAGTCCCCATATAACGGTACCTCCCTATATTCGGTATTTTGATGATTTTAGCGACTTTATTCACCGGAATTGTATCAAATTTCGTATTTAAAGTTCCAAATGAGAACTACAGCCAGTGACAGAAAATTGTCTTCCCAAAATATCGGAACCTCCCTATATTCGGTATTTTGACGATTTTAGCTACGTTATTCACCGGAATTATTAAAAATTAGTATTTGCACTTCGTAATGGGTACTACAGCCTGTGACTGAAAATTGCCGGTCTACGTCTTCGAATAGACCCCAAAATAACGATAAATCCCTATATACGTTATTTTTTAGATTTTAACAGAATTTATAATTTATTTTTTATTTTATTTTAATTTATTTATTTATTTATTTATTTTTTTTTTCTGAAAATTTCCAAATTCGTTCCGAATTGTGGAGGGTATTTAACTTACTGTTTTTTCACTTTTACTTTTTTCGATAAATACTTCTAATTTTAAGGGATTGGACATATTTCACGTGCCTTGCGAACTTGGTATTACCGTCAGTTTTCAATTATGTGTGTCGTTTATCTAGAGTTTATTATCAAAATATAATGGTTGTCATTTGCAGCTTCTCCAAATATTTGTCAGAATAGCATTAAAATTTCCTATTAAGCGGTAGTTTTCATTGACGAATGTCAGTATTTTACGTTTTTATTCAAAACTTTTTAGTTTGTTACGTATATGACATTACCGAAATTTTTTCCTCCCATCCCTGACAACAATTGCAAACTGTTACCCTCCACCATAGTATGGAGGGTATATTAAGTTTGTCATTCCGTTTGTAACATCTCGAAAAATTAATTTTAACGATAGCCATCCGTGCGGCTGTGGAAACCACTTTAGCTTCCGAACGAATTGAAGCAGATTAATAAAATTTTACTCAAATGTGTGTTTTGTCTGCAGGACTTTTGATATTGACAATGGTCCACGTTTAGGTATAGGCCCCATATAACTGTTCCTCCCTATATTCGGTATATTAATGTTTTTGACGACATTGTTCACCGGAATTGTTTCAAATTTCATTATGATAGTTCGTAATGGGTACTGCCTGTGACGGAAAATTGTCTATGCAGGTCCACGTCTTCGTAGAGCCCCCATATAACGGTACCTCCTTATATTCGGTATTTTGATGATTTTAGCGACTTTATTCACCGGAATTGTTTCAAATTTCATATTTAAAGTTTCTAATGAGAACTACAGCCAGTGACAGAAAATTGTCTAGGCAGGTCTTCGTATAGCCCCAAAATATCGGAACCTCCCTATATTCGGTATTTTGACGATTTTAGCTACGTTATTCACCGGAATTATTAAAAATTAGTATTTGCACTTCGTAATGGGTACTACAGCCTGTGACTGAAAATTGCAGGTCTACGTCTTAGAATAGACCCCAAAATTAACGTAAATCCCTATATACGTTATTTTTTAGATTTTAACAGAATTAATAATTTATTTTTTTGTTTAAATTTATTTATTTATTATTATTTTTTGAAAATTTCCAAATTCGTTCCGAATAGTGGAGGGTATTTAAAGTTCGACCCGGGCGAACTTACTGCTTTTTCACTTTTACTTTTTCGATAAATACTTCTAATTTTGAGGGATGGGACATATTTCTTCGATGTTCGGACAGTATTTTGATTTTTTACGAAATTATTTTATAATTAAGGGCCGAACAACGAATAAACCAAATCACGTGCCATGCGAACCGTCAGTTTTCAATTATGTGTGTCGTTTATCTAGAGTTTATTATTAAAATATAATGCTCGCTTGCATTTGCAGCTTCTCCAAACATTTGTCAGAATAGCAATAAAATTTCCCATTAAGCGATAGTTTTCATTGAGGAATGCCAGTATTTTGCGTTTTTATTCAAAACTTCTTACTATGTGACGTATACCCAAAATTTTTCCTTCCATCCCTGACAGCAATTGTAAACTGGTACCTCATCTATACAAAGTCTCCCATTAAATTTGCATATTTTTTATAAACAAGACCTTCTTAAGAATTTTCACTAAACCGAAGGGGTTACATTTTCCAGTTTATTCACACTTCAGTGGATGACGCATTTTAAGGCGGCTCATACTTGTTAAGAGTTCAACTTTTTTGGTACTTACTTTTGTGTTTGTAGTGGGTTTTCCATTTGCGAAAAAATGACATGGTCAAGCGGCGTTCAGGTATTACCAGAAATCCAAAAACAAATCAGCAATGGCTGTGACACAACAAACGGCTGCGGACGTAGCTGATGATGATGACAGCTAGACTCGGAGATGTGCAGCAAATTTGGAAGACCAGTGGCACGACGAAAATGCTTGTCCACCGAAACTTGATTCAAACGTTATTCGGCTAGAATGACGATGAGCCAACGAAAAGGCAGGTGTATGCAAATAATTGGCAGCAATGTTGTTTTTCCAATGTTTCTATGGAGACCGGGTAGAGTGCGAAATAAATTTTCCGAAATTTTTGATTGATTATGGCAACATAACAAAAACTCCAAGGGTTGGTTGGTTGGCTGCTCGGCGTTAACAAAGCTTGACTGACGCTCGGGTTTGATGTGTTAATTGTTCTGCGGTATAGTTTGGAGTGAAACAATCAAAGTTTTTTTGCAATGAAGCAAATAAACGATGTTTCAGATAATCTTGTTGGTGGTGGTGTTGTTGTAGTTGTTCTTGTCGTCGCTGCGGCTAATGTGTGAGAAATGACAAACAAACGAATTACAATTCTGTGGTGCTTGCGGTCTCTAAAAAATAAATTTTGTATTTTTTTAAGACGAATTTTTTCGACGATAATTTTGTTGTTATTTTGTAAAAAAACGTCGTTTGTCTCGTTATTTAGAATCACAACGCAATTTATTTATGACAAAAATTTTTGTTTTTGTTCAAAATTTTTGAGTGAGTGTGTGTTTGTTTTTTTTTTATTTTTTATTTTTATTTTTATTACGTCTTTTTGTTCAATATTTGCACAAAGTGAACGGCGATTTTAAGCAGATACGTTTGCTTTATTTATTTTTTTGGAGAAGTGTTTTTTTTTTTCTTTTTTTTTGTGGTTTTTGCGCAAAACTTGTTTCCACTATGAATTTTCAAAACGAAATGAAACAAGTAATCAAATCAAAATATTCAAACAATATCAACCACCCAGCCAGTCAGTCAGCCAGCCACCATCAACAAAGCCGCCTCAGCCACGATCACAACAACAACAGCCACAACACAAAGCTACTGCAGCTATAGTCGGCATTCGTAAAAATTTGCAAAACAAATAAAAATCGCTCACTTTGTTGTTTCTTCTTATGAATGGTAAGAAATGGCAAGTGAACGCAATACAAAACAAAAAAGAAGAAAACAAATATTAGGAAGGGATTTTTGGTGCGGTATGGTGAACTTAGTTTATCTCTACTTAGGCATAACAGAGTATTAAAGGAGTGACTGACTGGCAGATTCGTCAACTCCCAGGCGAAACGGCTGAAGAATCTTCAAATTTTGCATGTTATGGTGGGTAGGGTTGAGATAAGGTTGGGTTTTTGGAAATTCGGACTAGAAGTGTACTTTAAGTGCTTAAGTTTCGTACCTTTCGTACCTTTTGGTGAACGAATGCCGGTAAAATCTTGTCTATTTGTATACTCCTATAAATTAGGAAGTAGTAGAGATTTAAGTAGTAATAGCTGTACTAATTGGTACTAAATTCGGTACAATTTGGTTTTGATTTGGAAAGGATTGATCTGGAAATTAAAAATATTGGTATTGGGGTCGCTGCTGGTGGGTAGGGTTAATATAAATAGTTGGACGTGGAAATGCGTACGAAAGGTACTACATTTGGAATCGCGTTAACGGATACGGTTTAAAATCTGAAATTTGGAATTAGGATCACTTTCAGTGTATAGGATCGAGATTTGGAGGCGATTTTGGAAATGCGTACCAAATGGTTCTAAATTTGGTATTTGGGTAAAGTCACAATCTGTTGATACATGGCGAGGGTTTTGGAAATACGTACTAAAAAGTTCTTAATGGTACACAATTCGGTATTGGGGATTGAGGGAAGGGATTGAGTTGGAAGTCTAAAATTTGGCATTGGGATCAACTTTTATGCGGGTTAAATTTATATCTGGTGGAGGATTTGGAAATTCGTACTTAAAAGTGCAAAAGGTACTAAATTTGGTATTGCGTGAACACATACTGGAAATCTGAAATTTAGAGTGAGATTCTTTGATGTTGTGTAGGATAGACACACCAAAAGGTTTTTTGAAATTCCAACAATACCTGTACGAAAATACTCTAAATTTGGTACCATTTGGAATTATGGGAACGGATAGTAGTAAAATCCTGAAATTTGGTATGAGAATAAATTCTTTAAAATGGGCCTGATGTAAGGTGGTAGTGTTGGAAATGTGTACTAAGTCTGAGAAATGTACCAAATGGTACTAAATTTGGTATAATTCCGGAAGAAGGTGGTCATTTGAAATGTTGGTATTTTGGTCTCTGTTGGTGGTAGGTTTGTGATAAAGTGATGGTTTTCACAAGTGCACGAAAAGTACTAGGTAGTACTATATTTGGTACATTTTAGTATTGGATCAACAGAAAGGGCTTAAAATCTGAAATTTAGTATTATTTAATTTTTAATTTAGACGCTGTTCATGTGTACCATAATTATACAAAAGGTACTGAATTGTACTTTATTTGATATTGAGTGAAGGAATAGGGAGAAAATTCTGAAATTTGATATTTAGATTACTGGTGGTATTTAAGATGTTTGGGTGAAGGGATAAAGATAAAATTTTAAAATTTTATATTTGATATTTAGATTAATGATTTTATCTGTGTCTGAGGTTTGGAGCTGTCTTGGAATTGCGTAAAACAGTCGTTCGAAAAGAACTAAATGGTACTAAATTGGGTATTGGGTGAAGGGATTGAGCTGAAATACTGAAATTTAATATTGAGGTCTATGTTGGTATCTGGGTCTGAGATTTGGAGGTGGTTTTGGAAATATGTACCTTAATTGTACGAAAGTACTGAATGGTACTATATTTGGTATTGAGAGAAGGGATAAAGACAAAATTCTGAAATTCGATATTTCCATTACTGATGGCATCTGTGTTTAAGATTTGCCTGTGGGATGGAGATCCGTCCTTTATTTCTTTGAAAAATACTAAATGGTACTAAAGTGGGTATGCGGTGAAGGGATTGTGCTGGAATCCTGAAATTTCATATTAAGTTCTCTGTTGTTATCTGGGATTGCGATGTGAAGGTGGTTCTGGAAATGCGTACTATAGTTGTGCGAAAAGTACTAAATGATACTTAATTGGGTGATGTGATTGAACATAAATTCTCAAATTTCATATCAAGTTTTCTGCTGTTATCTGCAATTGAGACGTGGAGGTGTCTCTGGAAATAGGTATATAATTGTACGAAAACTACAAAAAAGTGGTAACAAATTGGGTATTGGGTGAAGTGATAAGGCTGGAATCCTAAAATTTGATGTTGACATCACTGTTGGTTTCTAGGGTTTACATATGGAGCCATTGAAATGGTTTTGGACAGAACAATTGGATTTAGGTCCATTGTGCAATGGTTATACAAATATCCTCATCTTCAAAGAAACAAATAATAAAAATCGAATTAAAGGTTTTGAAAAATTTTTGGTGTAAATGTTTCTATTATTCATTTCAGGGACGTAGACTAATTTCTAAATTACGACAGATCAAATTAATCTTTAAATAAAGGTTCAAGACAATGAAATGTAGACTACTGTCTTTCCAGAACAAACTAGTTTTTTCGTTCGTCCAGTTCCATTAGATTTCCCCTATCATGCTTGAATATAGTTTCAAATTGTGATATATTTAAATGCATTTTACGATCCACGTTTCGAGGTCTTACAAAATTGTCTTCCAAAACATAATAATAATAAAAATAATAATAGCGATAATAAATATAATATTATTACACATTGTTGACCTGAAATTGTTTTATGTTATTGTTGATGTTGCGGCTGTATGTCATTTTTCTTTATTCATCCGATATTTTGATCATCTAATAGCCTAAATAGTACAAATAATAATAATAATAATAATAATAATAATAATAGTAATAATTATAATAATAATAATAATAATATAGTACTAATTATAATAATAATAATAACAATAATAATAATAATAATAATAATAATAATAATAATAATAATACTAATAATAATAATAATAATAATAATAATAATAATAATAATAATAATAATAATAATAATAATAATAATATAATAATAATAATAATAATAATAATAATAATATAATAATAATAATAATAATAATAATAATATAATAATAATAATAATAATAATAATAATAATAATTATAATAATAATAATATAGTACTAATTATAATAATAATAATAATAATAATAATAATAATAATAATAATAATAATAATAATAATAATAATAATAATAATAATAATAATAATAATAATAATAATAATAATAATAATAATAATTATAATAATAATAATAATATAGTACTAATTATAATAATAATAATAATAATAATAATAATAATAATAATAATAATAATAATAATAATAATAATAATAATAATAATAATAATAATAATAATACTAATAATAATAATAATAATAATAATAATAATAATAATAATAATAATAATATAATAATAATAATAATAATAATATAATAATAATAATAATAATAATATATACTAATTATAATAATAATAATAATAATAATAATAATAATAATAATAATAATAATAATAATAATAATAATAATAATAATAATAATAATAATAATAATAATAATAATAATAATAATAATAATAATAATTATAATAATAATAATAATATAGTACTAATTATAATAATAATAATAATAATAATAATAATAATAATAATAATAATAATAATAATAATAATAATAATAATAATAATAATAATAATAATAATAATAATAATAATAATAATAATAATAATAATAATTATAATAATAATAATAATATAGTACTAATTATAATAATAATAATAATAATAATAATAATAATAATAATAATAATAATAATAATAATAATAATAATAATAATAATTATAATAATAATAATACTAATAATAATAATAATAATAATAATAATAATAATAATAATAATAATAATAATAATAATAATATAGTACTAATTATAATAATAATAATAATAATAATAATAATAATAATAATAATAATAATAATAATAATAATAATAATAATAATAATAATAATATAATAATAATAATACTAATAATAATAATAATAATAATAATAATAATAATAATAATAATAATAATAATAATAATAATAATAATAATAATAATAATAATAATAATAATAGTAATAATTATAATAATAATAATAATAATATAGTACTAATTATAATAATAATAATAATAATAATAATAATAATAATAATAATAATAATAATAATAATAATAATAATAATAATAACAATAATAATAAAATAATAATAATAATATAATAATAATAATAATAATAATAATAATAATAATAATAATAATAATAATAATAATAATAATAATAATAATAATAATAATAATAATAATAACCTCCCACATGCTTTAGGTTTACATCAATAGTTGCTGGAATCTTCACAAGCTACCATTACCAAGTCAATATTTGCGATTTGTGTAGGGTATTAAGCCCATAATAATAATTCGCGCATCTCTATGTCTGTATGTGTGTGCACATCACATTGTCAACGAAAACAAAACAAGAATTGGGAGAAAAAAAGGCTGAAGTTCAGCTGATAAGCGGCGCATTGCATTTCTCAATGATGGCTATAAAGACTGCGGCGACATCTCTGGCGCTTACAACTGGAGGTCGCCGATCACAAATAACTCAAATGCATAATCAGTGGAAAAAGCCGCAAGAAAGGGTAAGCTATTGGGCATGACAATAATAATAAATTAAAGCCATATATAAAATTTTACAGGCCGTGAAAAAATAAACGTTGGGCATAATTTCGAAACCGTTGGACATAATTTCTATATATTATGGCGCCCAATTAAAATATATTGGGAAAGGTATTTTCATGAGGTCAAGAAGGAGATTTTCGATAAATTCTATATTCACATCAGATCTCTAGTTGAGAAAAATATTAAGACGCACCATGAAATCGTTGACTTTTTATGAGATATATAACTAATCAAAAATTTGATCCGAGTAGACCGAAACATCCC